GCAAAATGTCCCAAAGCATTCACCCCCAATCCCAATGAAGACAAAAACGTTTGTTTTCTGGTTGTCCTACTCTCATTAAGTTACAATTTCCATCTGCTCAAGCAGGACCTTAATGCCATCTTGTGCTTTAGCAAGGTATCTCTGGCTAAAACTAGCTAACGTTAAAGTTAGTGAGTCCATACAAACCTAAATTGTGGACTGTTCTCGCGTCTTGTACAGTGTAGGACAAAAACACAAACGAAGGTCTACATTTCACTGTCTCTTCATATAAATGGTGGTCCTTCTGTGTCCAAAATTTATCAAAAAGATATAGGGACAAGGTTTTCACACTGACAGCTGTCATTGTAAGACAGTTAGCAACTCCGTTTGTTTGTCCGAGTTCGCAACAGTAACTAAGGGGGGCAGGGCTTACCGATAGGTCAATTGAACGCACATGTAGTTTTGCTCAAACACAACCACACTCTCCAGATTTTCAAAGTAATGGCGTATCATCTTGGAACAATCCATTAAAATAGAGAGATTTCTCAAGTAAAACTGTGTGAAAGAATAGAGACTGGACCTGCACAGTGCATGTGGCACAGAATGAGGAAAATGTGTGTGGAAGATAAAGACTACGAAGTAATACGACCATCTCAGATGTGAATGGCACGGTTAGCTTATAACATTCTTTATAAAGGTTTTACTTTTGCATTATTCCAAATATTTAGTAGTTAGAGGTTACTATCAAAATAAAATGGCATGCAGTGACAGTGGGATGCAGTTGGCTGAAAACAGGAATTTTTTCTCTTGATGTCACCTAGTAAAGAACAAGCACAACTGAAATCATGCAATCTAACCGAGTAGTTGGTGAAACCTGCTAAAATCAATGTGATATCAGCAAAATAGCTTCAGTGAAGAAATAAAAATGAAATAAGCACCTTTACTGATCTCCAGGTCGACAGGGTAATCAATATTCTTGACCAGTTTTTGACATCCACCGGTCTTCTCAAAAACAAATCTCTTAAGGTGAAGCACCAGCACTGGAGGAAGCTCTTCAAGAGTCACTCTCCGGCTGATCTCAATCTAAAGCAGAAAAAGATGATAGGAAAGCAGCCACAGGTTTCAACTTAATCAGCATCAACATTAAAACGTTCTCCTATTCCATCTAAATATATAATTAGCCATTTGTAGGTTGATATCCTATTCTTGAGTACCAGTCCTGAGCTCTGGCACCATGAGCAAATATGAGCAACTGCACATCACAAATGAGGGGACAAGTTTCACATTGTTTAATACATTTATAAAACACAATTCTAACACAAGTAGACAGCTACAAATTTAGCAGTAATGGTATTAAAATCCATCTCAGGTTTCAAGGGGAAACATCAATGCAGCGGTAAAGGGAGCCCGTCAACAGCTCACAGAAAAACTAACAGACACATTTGTGGGTAGATGATGTTTACGGATAATGATTCACACACCTCCTGCTTGCTCTTAGTGGTGTAGCCCTGAACGGACTCCCTCGCCACCAGTACCTCCAGGGCCTCTTGGACTGTGCGGATCTTCTCTGATTGGATGTCCAGCTGCAGTGTGAAGAAGGGCTGCAAGGTGGCTGACTCTTTTGAGCTCTGCTGGTATACCACAGATCTATCAAAAAAAAAAAAACATTTAGAAAAATGGACCAATTATAGATTTAATTAATAAACCACTACTCCCTGTTAAAAGAAAAAGAAAACAATGTCAAACTAAACAATATTAAAGAAATTATTAGGGATGAACAGTATTATTCTGTTTATTTATTAAAATTTAAAAAAAAAAAAAAAAAAAAAAAAAAAAAAAAGATTTAGAAAAATAATAAAATAGTAAACCACTACTCCCTGTTACAAGAACAAGATAAAAGGTAAAACTAGACAATATTAAAGAAATTAAAGTAAATTTTCAATTTTTCCTTTCTCTTTGGAGTGTTACAAGCTCTTGGTGCATAAAGACATAGAGGAGAAACAATCATATACAGTATGTGGAAAATAATGTGTTTTTTTAACCTTAAACCGCATAAACACATTTCATTACACCAAATACACAAAATAAATGTTCTTTTTAGCAACATCATATGACCCCTTTAATCATATTCATCACAGTCCATCAAATTATGCGCTACTATGAATCTGAAAGCCAAAAACTGTAGGTTTCTTACAGGAAAACAAAAGAAGGGCTTAGCTACGCAATTAATTTCTCCATCAGTCAACCAAAGACTCCATAGCCAAACCATAGCACCTAAACGCATAAAGAAAATGCTACATTTAAAGGTGCTGTATGTAAGTTCTTGGCTTTACTAAAGCATAAAAAATACCATAATATGTTTGCAGATATTTAAGAAACATGCTAAGTTAACATATTTGTTTATCTGAAAAACAATGCTACAGTCAGTTATTTTCCTTTGAAAATGTGCGTTCCGGGCCGGAATGTCGGTCTCTGTTTTGGTTTGTGAAACCCGCCCACTGCCAGTTTACCCAATTGTATTTCGGCACCCCGGGATGCCAGTTGGCGGGGGAAACAGCGCATTTCATTTCAGTCATGGAAGCTGGCAAACGAAAGGGGTCAGAGTGGAAAATAGAACTTTCTGCCCATCCTAAAAAGCCTCGACATCAATCCAAAATAACTTTATGATCAAAAACAGTATAATAAAAGCAGAATAAATATTGGAGATGCGTTTGAGAGATGGTTGTTGGTGTCGTCAATCTGGCAACCTGCGTGTGCGTCAAGTCTGAGGAGGAGGGACCGGATGAAAAAAACCCTCTCCAATATTTTGAATTTGGACTGCTATACCTAGGTTCAACCACTCGGTGTCAATCCTACATACAGCACCTTTAAGCCTCGACGCCCCCACACGTTCAGGCGTCTGCATTTCTGCAGCCACCTAAATTAGCTGGCCGGTGGTGGTGAGCCACAGGGCTTGTTATTCTGTAGCGAATTGTTTGTAATGTCTGCAGCCACACAGCTTGGAGGAGCTTCAGGACAGCAAGATGGTCTGAAGATGGCACCACACTCACTGAGCTCCTGTTTCATACCACACTCTGCAGTGTGTGCCCATGAAAAGGCCAAACCCAATGGTGCAATGGCTTTTCTTTTCCACAAGTTTATTTTTCTTGTAGAAGTGCTGCATATATCTGTCTACCTCTGAGGTTTAATGTGTCGAAAAGTTCAGGTGCCTCATAAAGCCACTGTTATGAGGATTACAACTCTGCAGCAGTGGTTCTCAAGCCTTTTTTTAAGGCCAGATAGAGCTTTTGAGGTTGTGTAGAATAGAATATAGGAGCTTTTACAACTATGGATACACAGAGTATCAGCTTGACAATAGCTGACGTGGAAATGTGCTCAAGGCCTACCTGATGTGACCACCAAATATGTCGGTGATGGGAGTGCGGATAAAATCTGCCTGCCGAGTGATGGAGGTTTTGTTTCTGGGCCCGACCTGTTCCCATTCATCATCACTGCCTTCCTCCTTCTCAGCAGGGTCTTCCTCCACTCCAGGCTGAGACTCGGGCCCATTTGGTGTAGGGGCTTCTGTTCAGAGACGGAAAAAGACAATAAATTTAGAGTGGGCAGGACACCAGTAAAGAGCCTGATATCTCCTGCAATTAATGCAGAAATCAGAAGGGAACGTACTCTCTTCCTGTGGAGAGATAAGCTTCTCCAGTGCCAGCATTTCCTCATGCAGTCCATTTAAAATGAAACCAAGGTACTCCTCCGCATCCTCCTGGCGCCCCTGAGAAAGACAGAAATCATTAACACATGCTAACAGTGCCAAACCTTACTCATGCCACACTCTTTGACTTTGTTCCAAACAAAACCAGTTACCAGTCAGACAATGACCAAATTTTTGAATGTAGGTACTATTTTCAGAAATTAGTGGCTTCCAAGGCACCATAAAGCCTAAAGACTAATGAGAACCAAGTTATATTTTAATCCAATGACTGCAATGCATTTTCTTAGTAAAACTGGATCAAGAATAAATTTCAATAAATTTGAAAAAAAAAGTTCTTTCAAATCAACTGCCAAATGGCACGCATGATTGTGGGAAATCATAGGCGGCAAGGGATACTGCATGTCCAATTCGGACATGCCCTGATGCCGTCCATCCTCTATATAGCGTCCGCAAAAGTAGTATTTCTCAGGTACACTCTTGTTCTCCCACATCCGGAAGACTGTGTATCTAAACATTTAGCTCATTAACTGAGGTCTTTATCTTACAGCATTGATCTTGTTCATTTGAGGACACACATTCCTCAACATTAGTGAATGTGCAGACAGATACAAAAAGAGATGGAACAGGAAGGTCTTGTCCTTGGATGTGCCAAGCACGAGTGTCTATAATTATAGTTGACCAACTAGTAAATTGTTGGTGGTAATTACTACCAAAAATTACATGAACTAGATTTATAGTAGTTTAATTTTTCTTAAAGGGGTCATATGATGTTGCTAAAAAGAACATTATTTTGTGTATTTGGTGTAATGAAATGTGTTTATGCGGTTTAAGGTTAAAAAAAACACATTATTTTCCACATACTGTACATTATTGTTTCTCCTCTATGCCCCGCCTTTCTGAAACGCGTCGATTTTTACAAAACTCATCGGTCTGAAAAACGAGGTGTGCT